ACCGGTGGCCTTCTGTCACACAACAAGTCTTCAAATATGAGAGTGGCTTATAGAAGTTAGGTTAGGACTTTTAATGGAACAGGGTAAGAGATTGATAAATCAAAATTACAGGGACATTATTTTAGTTGCTGGAGGCATTTTAGATTTTGTACCACTGCCTCAAAGTCTGAGACTTTCAGGGGCCCTAGACCCTATAACCAGGATTAGATTTGATTAATTGCAATTTTTTAGCATTATGCACTAAAGCACAATATAAAGTGAAACGTTAAGTGGTCATTCAGACCTTAATGCACTGTCTCACCTTAAATACACCTTGCCCAAATTAGGATTCCCTGACTCCAATAACAGGTGATAAACTTGAATGAAGGCTTTAAAATTAAAACCTATGGATGACTTATCCAGATATTACTAACAGAGGTGTACATTAAAACAAGTGTATTGTAACACCTCCAGTAAATGTGTGTGCTTGTTTGATGTATGTGTGAATCTGACAGTGTGACAGTGACAGAGAGAGAAAAGACTGGTCATTAGAGAGACAGAGTGTGATCAATGTCAGTTGTGAACGAGGATGCTGGCTGTCGACAAAATCAGCTCTCTGACAGAATCATGCCGGTTACCATGACAACAGGAGGCAAAAAGAAAGAAGCAGTAAAATGTGGGGACAGAGATTGACTCAATCCTGCTAAAGTTAAACACACATGCAGCAGAATGAGGGACTGACAAAGATTTTTGTCCTCTCTAACCCGTGGAGGCTTTACTGCATGGATGCTGCTCACTACATCCTCAGTGAAGCTGACAGCTCGTCAAGATGAATGACAAGTGCCGGGGCGGGAACAAGACCGTCTGTGAGGGAGGAGGGCGGAGCTGACAACACACGTTCTGTCAAATAAGAGGAAAATATAAAAGCTTTAAAGCAGCAGTAAAGAATACAGTGTTCCATTATTTAACAGAAAGACACATTGACAACTGAAGGCTTCGGTAAGACTGAGGCATTATGTTCACAATGCTATGGAATACTGTGAAAAGGATGTTGTTTAACCCTTTATAGGGCACTCATTGAAATACTTGGACATTTAAAATTTCAACCCTGGAGTGTTATTGGTGGATATAAGAAGAATATTTTTCAGTTTTGATTTTTTGAAAAAGTTCAGTTTTAGGCTGAAA